AGATGGATTGGTGGTTTGCACCGGAGCGTTGCGGTGAAGAGGGAGCTGAGCCAGAGGGCAAAGCTTTTGATTTACTGGTTCATCTACGTCCCAACCCTCACCTATGGTCATGAGCTCTGGGTAGTGACCGAAAGAATGAGGTCACAGATACAAGCGGCCAAAATGAGTTTCCTCTAAAGGGTGGCTGGGCTCAGCCTTAGAGATAGGGTGAGGAGCTCGGAGCAGAGCCACTGCTCCTTTACGTCGAAAGGGGTCAGTTGAGGTGGTTCGGGCATCTGATCAGGATGCCTCCTGAGCGCCTCCTGTTAGAGGTTTTTTTCCGGGCTCATCCAACTGGTAGGAGGCCCTGGGGCAGACCCAGAACATGCTGGAGGAATTATATATCTTGTCTGGGGTCCCCCAGGAGGAGCTGGAAAGCATTGCTTAGGAGAGGGACGTCTGGGGTGCTTTGCTCAGCCTGCTGCCCCCACAATCCGGCTTTGGATAAGCGGTTGAAAATGGATGGATGGATGGATGGAGTAGCTCAGAAGTTCTAGCCACTCATATTCAGTGTTTGCAATAAATTACTGTGAGAAAAAGAAAAGAAAAGAAAAGAAAAGAAAAGAAAAGAAAGAATCAATTTTCCACTTAATGTTAGTGCATATCCAATGTGTCAGTTTTATTTTCATTTAAATTGTACTAAATGAGACAAATTCTGTTTTCATGCTGCCTCCAGAGTCAATTAATCCAGGCAGTTTGGTTTATCTAGTTAATAACCTCCTAAGTGGATGCTTACATTTTAATAATATAATAAAATAAAAATATGTTCAGATTTTATTTAAAAAAAGAAGAAAAAAAAAGAAAGAACTGGCTGAGATCTGTTGACACTCAGATGATTGTTTTTTTTAGTTAATCCACATCTTTGAACTGACTCCAGAGAATTACTTTGGAGTTTATTTTTCTAATCTTATCTCATTTTAACATGGAAGTTTGGGAGTGTATATTCCTGGTAGTTCTTATGTATTTGCTACGTGAGCGGACCCATGAGCACAAGGAGATTTGTTTTTATCATTGGAGAACCAGAGCTTTTGGTCATTTCTCAACCATTTTTCCGTGGAAAAAACAAATGGGGATAAATTGACTCCTCACACAGTGAATCATCTGTTAAAATCTCCATGAGCGAACCTGTGACAAAACATATCTTGTTTCTTATTATGTTCTGAAAAAGGCTTTTACCAGCTGGCAGTGTTATAAGTAAGATGTCACTCTGAGTGACTTGAAATGTGTGGGCAAACTTCAGACACAGTATAATATTAACAGCTGTGGAGGTTCGAGACTGTCTGGATGATTATCACAGACTTTCTCAGTGGGTGAATGTACAGGATGTGGTGGCCTTATTATGGTTATAATTAAGGCCTAATCCACAGGTACATGGGTATATTTTGATGCCTCTTTTTGGCAGTGGGGAACGCGTCCAAAATAATGCTGACTTTGAACTGGCTAACAAGACCTTTTACATGTTTATACACAAATGTACATTTACTCTATGTCACCACTGTGGCATCTGATCCCAGTTGAAAAAAAACAAGTCTGGACTAATGGTCTCAGGCAGTTTATTCCGTTCTCAATTAACTCCGTCAACCTGAACAAAAATTAGGTAGAACAGAAGACAAAACATTATATTAAACTTACCTCATGAAGTAAGCAATTATATCAAATTATTAGACGCATAGAAATATAGATAATACCTTGTTGGCCTCTCGACTGGTGCTAAACACCATTAAACTCTCTCCATTCGTCCGTATTTCTTCTTTATTTTCAGTGTTTATCGCCATTTTACTAACGTTACTGCACCGTTTACCTTTCATCAATTTCTGTCTTTCCTCTGTGTCTACAGTCTCTCCAAAATAAAAGCACTTTCTGGTTCACGGGAAATAAAAAAATAAAGGCAACAAATTAGAACTGCTAGCTTAACACATCGACTACTGAACATTGGGGTCATTTACAATGACTGTAGAGGAGCAGAGGCACTGTGGAGGTCACTGCTCCAGGAAGCCTTCTGGTAATAATGGACCGTAAAACTTCAGTTAAATGCCCAGTACCTTTTACTAGCCCGGTGTGGCCACACATTTTGACAAAAAAATTCCTGTCTCAATTAGAGGCCTGGTCTGGTCGCCAAGCAGTTCATTTTTCTTTTATAGAAGTTCTTCAGATGTATAAAACAAGGTTGTTGGCTACCTCAAATTATGTGTCCATTCCTCGAATACCCTGTGAGTTATTCAATCATCAATCAAAAGGGTTTTTCATGAAAATTAATCCAAGTTGTGAGGATTTTTTTAACAGGATGAAGTGGTGTTGTGTTGTTTCGCCGGGTGCCGTAATCCCTAAGTGCCGTAACGCTCTTTCTTTGTGATAGGCTGTCTATCGGAGCTGCAACAAATAAATGATTCATAAATAATAAATGAAGGTGCCACCTGATACTCAGCAGCCATTCTCATGCACTCACACACTGATGTAACAGGCATTGGGAGAAACTGGGGGTTCAGTATCTTGCCCAAGGATACTTTGACATGCGGACTGGAGGAGTCAGGGATCGAACCGCTGATCTTCTGGTTAGTGGATGATGCTATCTACCTCTGAGCACAGTCACCCCTTTTGACAGCACCTCCATTGTGTTTTCACGTTGGCAGAGATTTTTTATAACGGTGCTTTTGTGGACAGGAATTGTTTTTGAGAGTGATGGAGGGAAAAAACTCCCTGTCAAAAATATCAATGTACATGTGGACTTGACCTAAGTGTCCTTCGTAGAGTCTAATATTTTCTCATGTCAGTGCAGCTTGACCATGGTATCACAAAATAACATGGTCACTCAATACCAAAGGAAACTAAAAGCAGGAAGCTGTATTTCCATTTTGTACTTTCATGGTTGAGAACATTTAACAAGCTGCTTGTGTTTGTTTTGTTTGTGCGGACTTAAGCATCTACCAAGGGAATCAACACCATACTTACTAGTATAATATTGTAATTTAATAATAAATTATGAATATGCTGGGCGATATTAAAGTAATAATGAAGTCTGATGAAGAGCCGCTGGCTCGAAACATTATGCAGCAATAAAATCCTTCTAATGTGAGCTACTTGGTGAGGGGATCTATTTGTTTCTACTCTGCCAGATATGTCTTAGATCCAGCACCCACTCCTGGGCACACTGGGATGTGTGTCTTTTTTTTAAACTCTTTTTTATGCCAGGTAATAACCCAGAAAAACTAATGACTATTCAAAAAAGAAAATGTAATCTTATCGGTCTGATGTTGTCCTTCTGCACAAATTCAGCAAATATAGCAGAGATTGTTCAGTGAAAGTTCAACATCTGGGTAAAGTTAAAGTCCTTTTCTTCTACGTAACACTAAAATAAACACAAAATTACATCTCAGGTAACAGAATAGTCAAATAATGAAGAATATTTGAATTTAGAGTGCTCTGTGTTCATGCAACTTCTCCAACAACAAGCTAACATTATATTTAGGGGTTTTATCCATTACAGTATTATTTTACCAGATTTTATCATTTCCACAGTTACAAACTTTATTTACTGAACTGGCTTCATCACACCGTGACCTCCAGCATGCACTGGGGCGGTTTGCAGCCGAGGGTGAAGCGGTCAGGATGAGAGTCAGCACCTCCAAATCTGAGTTCATGGTTCTCAGGGTCTTGTTCACGAATGAGAGTAGAATGGAGCGCGAGGCGGATTGGTGGTTTGGTGCAGTGTCTGCAGTGATGTGGGTGCTGCGTCAGACCGTCGTGGTGAAGAGAGAGCTGAGCCAGAAGGCAAAGCTTTCGATTTACTGGTCCATCTACATCCCAGCCCTCACCTCTGGTCAGGAGCTCTGGGTAGTGACCGAAAGAATGAGGTCACGGATACAAGCGGCCAAAATGAGTTTTCTCCAAAGGGTGGATGGGCTCAGCCTCAGAGATAGGGTGAGGAGCTCAGACATCTGAAGGGAGCTCGAAGTAGAGACGCTGCTCCTTCCCATCAAAGGGGTCAGTTGAGGTGGTTCGGGCATCTGATCAGGATGCCTCCTGGGTGCCTCCCGTTAGAAGTGTTTTGGGCATGTCTCACTGGTAGGAGGCCCCGGGGCAGACCCAGAACATGCTGGAGGGATTACATAACTCATCTGTCCTGGGGACGCCTTGGGGTCCCCCAGGAGGAGCTGGAAAGCGTTGCTGGGAGAGGGACGTCTGGTGTGCTTTGCTTGGCCTGCTGTCCCCGCGACCCGGCCCTGGATAAGCGTATGAAAATGGACGGAGGGATGGATGGCAAGTGTTTTAGACATAGACACACAGCTAGTTTTCCCACAATATCAATTTGGAGCAATAACAGATCAATAACACACGTTCTCATTAGTAGTTCAGTTAATGAATCATGAATTTATTGAACGCTTAAATAAATGAATAATTGACCCACACCTGTAGTGGCTGTTTTCACAATGCATATGCATATAAACCCTGTTGGTCATACACTTATTAACAGTATATTCACCTTTGCTGTATCATTCCTGCTGCAGCACTTTGTTTCACAACAGTTAACAATTCTTACTATCAGCAGACAGGAAAAAACATTTTGATTTTATACTGAAATACACAGTAAATCTCTGTGATGCACAGTTAGTCAGCTAGTTTGAATTGGCTGTTATGTATTTCTGTATCCAGACAGGTCAGTGTGCCGAGCTGGAGGGTGTGAAATGAGTCTGGCAGTGTATGAGTGGTTTTACATAACAGCAGAAGCTGCAGAAACAATCCCATATGCAGCAATAAAGATGGGAGTTTGTGCTGAAATGGATGCTGAGGATTCTCTACCAGACAGTAGAGATATCAATCTGACAGAAGAGCTACTGGGATGTTTGTTCCTATTATTTGTCAACCAGATATGTACTGTTTATAGATGTAGTTCATACATTATGGAATGAATTGTCCCATATTTGTTCCAATGTTTAAATATCCAAACCGTGTTTTTATTTCAGACTAAGATCCCAGGAATCGGTTTCTTGAAGATCCATGCTCCTTGGAACGTTCTGTGTCGGGAGGCTGAGTTCATGAAGCTCAAGATGCCGACAAAGAAGGTACCATTTGTCAGATTTATATTTACTGTATTTTTTTCGTGTCCTGAGGCTGATTGAACTCAGAGCTGCAGTGCTGACTGCTGACAGGTGTGAAGATAAATGTTTCCTGTTCTTCTGTGCTTTGCATTCATGTAACATTATAGCTCCCGATGAGGCCAAGTTGTGGTGACAGCTCAAATGAGCCTTGTGATGAGATTTTGATAAAAATCTAATGGGAATGCAAAATGCATGAATAACCATCAGCCACTTGTTAATTGCCATAATGTACAATTTCTTCTGTATTTACAAGGGAAGACTGTGCGGCCAAAAACATCACTGTAATCTAGTTTGTAGTTAACTGTCAAAAATCAGAGGTATCAGGTAACTCAGTCCAAAAATACCAACCACATTGTTTGAACCCTTCCCTGGAGTCATTAGGGAACTGTGTGCATTTCTGGAGACAAATAACTGATGGCAACCTCAGCAGTCAGGATTTAAACCATGTCATAGCACACTGTCTTTTTTAGGACTAGATTAATACGTTAAAAAGTTTGAAGTGTTTGAGTTTCTAGTGGTTTCAAGTCAAGTGCTCTTTAAGCCCAGTTCAGACCAAAGATTCATGACGAGACAAAACCATTGCAGGGAAAAGTTGCAGTGGTGTTAACTGTGCGCTGTTCATATGTATACCTGTGCACTAGAATTTGTATTTAACCCATGTAGTGTTGTCACGGTACCAAAATTGGGACCCACGGTATGATACCAGTGAAAGTATCACAGTTCTGAGTAGTATCACGATACCACAGCAAAAATGAGGCAGATGTGCCTTTTGTCATTTATAAAAAGATAAATCACTTTTCTATAATACATCAATGATATTTCAGTGGAATAAATTATTCATATTCATACTTCAAAAACAGCATCAATAAGTGATTAACATAGGGGGATCAAAATAAAATAAATAAAAAACTTCGGCCGAAGTCCCTAATAAAATAAAAATCAACCAAAAATCAACCAGCCACCCTCCTCCCCTGATACGTTAAGAACAGTCCGGTGAGGTTTGTGGAAATGTGAACGGCTAGTTTCTCCTCTGACACGTCACATACCTGTGTGCCGCTACAGCTCGGCTGTTCAGGTACTACTGGGCAGTCATGACACCAACTTATTCACCTGGAGCCGGGCTTCTCGGTCGCTGGTAAACTGTGTTATCTTGCGGTGGCCATAGTGCTCCGCCGTATTCCTGTCTGTGACCCCCGTTCAACCCACAACCGGCAGGATTCGCCTTTCGTTTCTGCTGCTGGTTGAAATCTGTACTCGCACTGAATGATTTCTTTTGCTCGCACAAAACTATTTTTAGTCGCAAATGCGAGTAAAATGCTCGCACCATAGAGCTCTGTGGAAAACAAATCACTGTAGCATATACAAACAAATCTATCCTACAAGTAAAAATAAATAAATAATAACTTTCACTGCTCAAAGATACTCAATAGCTCAGCTAATACCTGAAATGTCACTAGAAAACAAACCACTGCAGCAGCATATTGAGTGCCAGGTGGCCAGCGCGTGCCGTTATTGGACGGCGCATGGACACTCACCCTCTTGCGATTGGACTTTGAACTTATCCCACAGTAGTGGTGCCGTGAGGTACCGTAGTACTACGGTATTCCAACATTATGGTATCATATGTCCCGTGGTGTTTAAGTACCGCGGTCTACCGTTGGTACCAGTATATCGTGCAACACTAAACCCATGTAAGTGTGAAGGCTGCAATCATGTGATGAATGTGCTGAAGAGAACAAAGAAGGAAATAGTATGGGGGCAAAAGTCCAAGATCTGTGTGGGTACATGAGACCAAAAAAGAGGGTGGATCATGGGGAGTACCACCAGTCGGTCCAGGAGCTTCACCTCCATGATGGTCGTTTCAAGTACTGCTCTTATATGCTTCCACATGTGCGGTTTTCTATTGAGATACTGAGACTGGTAACTGTAGTTTGTAAAGTCATATAGCTCTGGCTATCCAGCAACTGCTACCACCAGTTTCTCCTCCATTGTTTACCAACTGTAAACTTGTTGTCGTGACCACCACAGAAGGCCCGCCTCTCAAATCATCTGATTGGACAATGGGAAGAAAGCAGAGATGATGTGGCGTGCTTTTCTGCTCTGAGTTGAAGTTTTTTCAGAGCACTCTGGCAAAAACGCTAGGCTCCTAGAGCACTGAGACACGAGGCACGTTGCAACATGAAAACAGCGAGCAAAAAGCTTCATTCCCATTAAAACAATTACAGAAAGCTGCCTCCAGCTGCTAAAGTGCTTTCTGTGTAATCTGGGCCTGAGGACACAGGTTGGGGTGGTGGATGGGTTCAACAAACACACATCTTTCCCCCAGGACACCAGTGATTGTGTCCCATGTGAACCCAGGTGAACTTTGTTATTTGGTTTTTACATATATATATATATATCATGTGATAACTTGATTTCTGTTGCTTACTTTATGTTTGCTTATTGACCCTTTGGTTCACTTTTTTGTTTATTTTTCTTGATTACATTACTTTTGTATTTCCCTCTTATGCTTTGTGAGATGAGATCCCTCAGAAGCCCTTAGGGGTTTCTTAAATCTCACCTGCACAACTTGTTCTTCTCTTGTTGCTGTATTTCTGTTGTTTTTTTATTTTGTTTTGTGCAAATAAACCTAACCCTAATTTACCCAACCATTTTCTTTTCCTAAACCTAACCTATGAACTTTACCTTAGTAAAGTAAGTGTGTAACTTTTTATTAAGTATGTAATGTAACGATGGCCCAGTTTGGATTCTTTTCTTGCACCTAAAGTAATTGGTAGGGGTGCTTATTCGATGGCCACCAATTTGTTAGATGACATATATTGTATGTGCATTTTTGCATTTTTGTAAGATAACATATGGACCGTTTTATAAGGATATGCTGCACAAGCCGGATGGTGGTGTCGCCTTCAATTCAGCTTGTCCAACACATTCAAGTTGTCACATATCGCCACTTTGTCGGTGGCCTTTCACATCTACAAATGAGGCACTGGGTATCCTCCTGCATCTGCTGTTGACGTTCTGGGACACCGCTACATTTGCCGGGACGTCAGCATAAGCACATGGTTAGGTTGAGGCAACAAAAGCATGTGGTCAGGTTTAGAAAAAAATATCATGGTTTGGCTCTTTATTCATACGGGAAGCAAACACCTGGCTCCCAGGGGAAAGTCCCGGGTTTGTTGGACCCATCCACCACCCCACCCACCTGCCCTGTAGGGACTTTTAAGCTCCTTTTACGTTGTTACAGGCAGCGTTTTAACCTAAAGGCCAATTTCCACCAGATGCGTGTTGGTTAAGTCTGCGATCCGGCACGGCAGCGGAGCCGATAGGATTCCATTCTAGTCAATGTGTGTGTTTCCACCAGCTGCGGCTGTGCTGCGTTCCGGCTCCGTCTCAGCTCCGGCACTCAGGAGCCCTCCGCAACAGATACGCAGGACTTCTATTTTTGCTGGACGCCGGAGCACAACGCAGCAATTCAGCACAGAGCAGATCGTGCGGGGCAGGAAGTCGTGCACAGAAACACAATAAAACATCCGGTTAATTTTCAAAATAAAGTACATAGTGTTCACGGCGGATCATATTTCCCTGCACTACACCTTAAAAACTACATAATGGGCAGAGGCAGGCCTGAAGTCAACAGGTCAGAGGTTTTCAGACGTCATTTCACCCCGTTAACACCATGGACGAGGAGATATTAATCATGGCAGTGCACCGAGATGTCTTCCGGCGGAGCTGCACCGCACCGCACAGCAAACGCAGCCGGTGGGTATTGACGGACGGCGGAGCACACAGCGGATAACCAGCGCTGCCGTTCTGCAACGGACACGCATCCAGTGGAAATCCGGCGTAACGCTGTCCAGCGGCGTATCATACCAACACGACAGTGCCATCTGACTGCATTATGGAATGACACCACCTGTCCACCTATCATACTGCTGCAAAGGGTGCCGTCCAGCTGTCCGGTGGCATATCATAATGCCGCCAAAGGTTATGTCCAATTACATTCCAAACTGATGCCTCCTGGTGGCATATCATACCACCCAAAAGGTGACCAAAATCAAGGACAAAGCTGCAGTTTTCAACAACTTTGAAATGAGAACAGACTGGCTTGTCAAGTCACCAGCAGCTGGTTTTGGCAAAAGGCATGTCGCCTTTTTCCACATCCAGTCAGCCTGTAGCAAAGTCAGATAGTCACATTTGTCACAAACTGTCAGCAGATGGCATTTTCACTTGCCGTGGCATTCTCCAACAACAGCCCTCGGTCCCTACTGAGCTCATCTCATTTACATTCCCATGGCTTTTGACATGTGTCACCGTCTTACAGTCAGGTGAACCCAAGTGCAGAGGCTACAAGCAGGCGACAGGAACTTTGAGAGATATTTTTTATCAGATTCTGGGAACACACAAACAAAGGCAAAACAGAACTGGTTTGCTTGTAACATGGGGAGCCAGGACGACAGGCAGAAACAAGAATTGCAACACCAGGACACACTGACCACAAACTGACAAAGAACAAAGGGAAACACACAGGTATATACACAGAAAACTAATCATAAGAACAAGACACAGCTGGAGTAAGTAGGCACTGGCGAAAGGAGGGAAACACAGGGATTGATTAACAGTGGAGACACAGGTGTGGTAGATAACAGAGTAGGGCAGAGTGAACAGGACTAATACAAGACAGGTGTGCTAGGAAGACTCTGGAACAGAAGGACTGAGAAGACTGATACAAAGCAAGTGTGTAAGAAAACAGGCTGGAAACAGACAAAGTAAGGAAGTAAAACAAGACATGACACGTGAGGAGATTGACTCTCAAAACAAAAGCAAGAAACAACCAACACCCAGGATCATGAGAGACACGCATGTTGGTCGGTATTGCATTGCATCATATCATATCGTATCGTTTTAACTCATCTCATTGTCAATCTATTGTCAGGCCTTTAGCCTAGGTGTCCCTCAGGGGGTCTAGTTTAGGTCCTCTTCTGTTCATTATATACATAACCAATATCTCTTCTCCGAATTTGGCCATAGCAAACCTACACTTTGCTTTTGATGCATTTCAAGTCACTCTTATCAAACATATCTTTGTTTTAAATGCAGACAAAACAGAATATGCTATTCTCAAGAGCACAGAAGAGAATCCTACCTACAGTACTGCCCACATTCGAACCCTTCAGGGCTCTCAAAGTGAGTAAGCAGAGCCTTATAGACATAAGCTCTATCAGAAAAACGGACAACTTACCTCTGATCACATCTAAATACAGCAGTTGTTGGATTATAGGACTTTTTAACCTGAGCGCTTGAAAAAGGAATTCTGATGTCATTGAGACCACCTGTTCAAATATAGGTGGCAGAGGAACAACATGTAGTCCTCTAATTTCCATTTAAATGCATTTCTTTTGCTTCCTCTGCAGGTTTATGAAGTGAAACAAGGCAGTAATGTGGTGGAAAAGATTCGACTGTTCATCCACAAAGTCACAGCTCCTCTACACCCAAATGTAGACGGCAACCGGCCACAAAACGTCAAATCCCTCTCTCACCCTTTCTCCAGAGAGAAGCAGCATCTGTGAGTAAAATCTCTTCTAACTCTCCGCTTGCTGTTGTGAAGACAGTTAGTCAAACTGACTGTAATGTTTCTCACATGTGTGGCTTTGTGCGTCTTTGCTTAGTCATGTACAGTACAAGCAGTAGAATCTGATTGCCAAAGACATTTTGCACATCTGAGCTGTTCACCCTCTGAAATCTGTAGACAGAATGTTTACATGGAAACTAATGTTTTAACTCTAATTCTATTAAGGTGCTCATTTTATGATATGAGTTGTCAAGTGGCTGGTTATCTATAATGGACTGCAGTCATCATATTAACACAAGTATCTCAGGGTCTTGTTCACAAGTGAGAGTAGAATGGAGCGTGAGATGGATTGCAGTTTGGCGCAGCATCTGTAGTGATGCAGGCACTGTGCCAGACCGTCGTTGTGAAGATGGAGCTGAGCCAAAAGGCGAAGCTTTCAACTTACTGGTCCATCTATGTCCCAACCCTCACCTATGGTTATGAGCTATGGGTAATGATGGAAAGAATTAGGTCATGGATAATGAGTTTCCTCAATGAGGTGGCTGGGTTCAGCCTTAGAGATAGGGTAAGGAGTCCCAAGTAGAGCCACTGCTCCTTTGTGTCGAAAGGGGCCAGTTGAGGTGGTTTGGGCATCTGATCAGGATGCTTCCTGTGCACCTCCCGTTAGAGGTGCACAGGCATGTCCACCTGGTAGGAGGCCCCAGGGCAGACCCAGAACATGCTGGAGGGATTACGTATCTTGTCCAGCCCGAGAACGCCTCAAGGTCCCCCAGGAGGAGCTGGAAAGCGCTGATAGGGAGAGAAGGATGCCTGGAATACTTTCCATAAATGGATGGATTAACATAACCTGGTTATCTGTCAATCCATCCTTTTATTGAAAGTGTAGGGTTCAGAGCCAAAGCTTTCCCACAGTTTGATACACTTTACATTTGCAAGTAGCAGTATTTGATATTTCAAATATATTTGCTAAACATGAAAACTGGCAAGAACAGATCAATTAAAAATGCTTTGATCAGCTCTGATTTCAGTCCTGCAAATCGGTTCCGGACATCTCTATTTACTGATGTGTTTCATGATGTATGCTGTGACGTCTGTAGGGGTGTGCGATATGGACAAAAAATAATATCTCGATATTTTGGGGGATTTTGAAGATAACGATAATTAGACGATATTCTTTTAAATATGTGTTTTTAACAGCCTGAGTTATAGCTCATTAATTGTTTCTCATGGATGATATTAATGGAAAAATGTTCTTAACATTTCTTGCTGCTTTTTTTACCTGCTCTCTCCGTTTGACTCTGGTGACGGCCTTTTGTAGCGTCAATTCCGGGTCCATTTGCAACTGTTCAGATAGGCATTTGTCCCGCAGACTCACCACAAGCCTGTCCCTCACCATCTCATCACGTAGAGCCCTGTAACAGCAGTGCTCCGCCAGGCAGTGCAGCGCCGTAATGAAACTGTCGGCCGTCTCGCCCGTTTCTTGAAGCCGCTGATTAAACTTTGCTCTCTCAAAGATCACATTCCTGCGATCCTCTTCTGCTTGGGTCTCCAGTCTTCAGCCTTGAAGGTGAACTTTTCCGGCGGGGAGACTTGAAACTGTGCCATGTTGCCGCTTCGTTCAGCTAACTGTGGCTAGGCTAGGTAGCTCCGTAGACGGTCTTCCGGTACTGCGAACTTTAGCCTGACAGACTGGGACCTATCACTACAGTTGACCCACGTCTTCCGAAGCTGCTGGAGCATCCATGGGCGGTGTTGCTATATTGTCTTGCTAATGTTTGTTTAGCAGCAGGCTGACCTGCTGGGAAGGTGCCAGTGAGAGATCATGTGACCACCTAGGCATACTGTGGCGTGCTGCTGCACGCAAGTTACGTAACTCTTGTTCAGTGAATGTGTGGGGTTTCAACCTTTCAACGATATATTTTAACGATATATATCGCCCACCCCTAGACATCTGTACACAGTACTAATGCTGCAGAGTTAAATAACATGGATCACATACAGTGGACCAACACAATCACACTCTGCAGTCAACATATTGATTATTGTACCATTACAGCTCAATACATGCCCAAGTCACAATTCTCTTTTCTTCTTTAAAGCTGCACTAATCAGTATTCTTATGTCAACAATGGGCCAAATGACAGTGAGTGATGTGAAAGGATTTAATGTGAGGATAAACCCACAGAGAATTATCACTCCACCCTGCAGCTCCACTCAACTCTATGGAGTTTTTTAGCTGCATTTAGCTTGTTGTTTTGGTTTTACTGTGCTTTCATTGACCACGTCCAGCAGCAGGCAGTACAAAAACTCACTGAACACGATCTGCTCGGCAACAAACAGCGCAAAGACACCGTTTCAGCTAGCCTGTGAACGTAGTGGAACATTTTGCTGCTAAAGAGCCAGTTTTTCTCAGGAGTTGTTGGAGAGCAAAGCTGAGAGGAGGGTGAATATCGGAATTAAATTCATCAGTTGGCCAGAGGCATAGTTTGACATGAATGCTAATGTTGCTCTGTGTTTGATGGATATGTAAATAGGCAACTGTTTACTAACACAGTAGGCCATAACTACTCTTTACAGCTTGTTCCACTGCCTAGTGATGGGCAGACAGATTGTTTTTACGGACTCAGTTTATTTGAGTTGATACATGTACCATACCTTTCGAATTTTGCAAAATATTGAGCATTTTTTTCTGTGACACTGTGTGACATTATCAGTTTTGAATAAATAAAGATAAAATATTCATTTTAATGCATTGATTCAGCATCCCATTTGTATGTAGGTAGACTATGTAAGCTCAATACAATGTAACGGAAATCTGATTTGGTAGCATCGATTTGTCGTTCTTCCTGGGCAAGAAGCAGACATCCCACTTCAAGACAATGGTTCATTCGGACTCTTTCAGTGAGTGTAGCTGCCTCGTCATCTGGACTTGATTCTGATTCAATCGCTTCTTGTTCACTCACTGTAGGAGGCAGTATGAGCAGTAGGCTTGGGTGGCATGGCAGTATTACATTATACCAGGGTAATAAGAAATCCTAAATAAAACACAGATGCTCATTATTTCTATTAAACTAATATGGAGAGGCTGTATTGAGGATGCACTGTATGTAGTGCACATCAAGCACCACCAGAAGTCAGTCTCTACTGGTGGAACAAGCAGTGCAGCTGACAAACATGCGGACTATGAGCAGTGGGGATAATGTTACAGGACTGTAAACAGTCAGGCAGCAATGGCAAAGAGAGACCGAGGGAAAAAAACATGCATGTTTTCACATTTAACCATGTGAATTAAAGGTTTAATTCAACAAAACCAGAGTTGGTGATTGTTGGAGGAGTGGACTAACTAATTAGATGACTAACAAGACTAACCAAGAGACTTCTGGTGAGTTTTATTTTGTTTCTGTTGAATTTGAAATAAGTGTTAACAGGGCAATTAAGCCAATGTAAATCTTAGTTTGATGAGAGAGAGAGACACTTGAATTTAGAAGGTGCACTGTTGTATCTCTCTGAAATAAGTAAGAATATTGCCTTTCTTGACAATTAAGGCCAAAACACACTAACAGCAAACACTGCATGTCAAAAAATACACCCCTATTATTTTAAGTAAACCCACACTGGCGGCTGCGAAACGTGCATTGCCGCTCCTAAACGAGCCACCCCGTGGCACTTCACGACACTGTTCTACTTCCAGCTTCACCACCCCCAGAATGAAATGCATTTTTCCTCCACTCACTCTCTGCTTGTACATACCAGCTTCCATAGCAGCTCTTTTTCTCTGCTCCTGTGGCAGCTCGACTCCTCTCCTCACCACTGATGTATGTATAAAAAGAACGCTGTGTCTCGTGTGCAGACGTTGCGTTAGACTTTTTCGTTGCCAGTCATTTTGACCGACAGGGTCATAAAAATCCGGTCATAATCTATTTTTACCAGTCATTTTAATTTTCGTTTTTAAATGATAATAAAGATATTCAAAGACATTTTGAAAATTGGCCGGATTCTCTCGTCTTTTTTGTGTCCGACTTCCTGTTTGGTACGATCCGCTCGATCCAGCTTGACAGAAGCGCTCGCGGCTCCCGTGAAAAATAGACCAGACGCCGAACTGAAGCGCTGCCTCTGCGGGCGCTCCGCTCTGCTCAGCGGCCTGTGTGGACAGTCAGATAGGTTAACATGGGCGCTGACTGAAAACTGCCTCCACTGCTGGGCGCCGTGCTTCGGTTCCGCGTCCGGCGTGTCAAGGGTGTTATGTCAACAACGCTACATGAAGCAGATGAATGACTTTTTCTCTGCAGTGTGAAAAAGGCAGCCACTTAAACCACTGACTGTGCACTCCGCTGCCAAGTGGGCAGGGGTGGTAATTGCAGCCGGTCAAAATGACGGACGGCCTTCAGATTTTCCGGTCATTATTGTAAAAAAACGGTCAATGACCAAGAATATCCGGTTAACGCGACCCCTGCTTGTGTGTGACAAAGAATAGTTGGGGAGAGACTTGTTGTTGAGGTTGAGAACCATCCCAAGCTAAACAACCCACAATCCCGTCAGTATAGAGACAATAGCAAAAAAGATGTTGCCTGGCAAGTCATGGCTCTGGAGATCGGCTCTTCAGAAAAATCAAGTTTAAGTATGGACTGTCCACACATGATTTTAAGCTAATGCAGAGGTGGACGAGGTACAGATCTTTCAGTAAAAGTAGTAATAACTTTGCATGGTCATCTGTTGATGAGCTGCAGCATTAAGTGTCCACTGTGTGCTAGGGGCAGCACTTGAAGCACATCGCATGATGCGGCGGTGCCAGTGTGTTTTCAACTTAAGGCAGCTTCAGGAACATAGTGAACTTGACACTCAAGGGGTGTGGGAGATTCACACACAAATACGGTCATATAACGAATACCACAGTGAATTTTCAGGCAGGTATGAAGGTATCAAAAAAAATAGATACCATCCAAGCCGAGTGAGCAGTACCCTACAACAGCCAGTGGGGTTGTCAGGCTGACTTT